CAGCGCTAATTCATTTGTTGCCCTGCGCTCCCCAGACAGCGGCTCTGCCGGAGGCAAATTTCCCAATAATCTCTCTATTTCGACATGGGTGTGGTACTGCTAACGAATGTCCTTTACCACCTGCCCCATCATGTGTATTAACCCCACATGAAGGGCTGCTTCTTCCGCCCAACTTGGCTGTGGAAGACTTGCCCCTTTTAACCCGGCCTGGGCTTTTTCCTTATCAACCCTCGAAGAGGAAGAGTCACATTGAGGCCAGCTTTTTCATGTCTGTCTGTGGACTGCCCCTTTGTAGTCCTCTCTGAAGTATTCTTCGTTGACCCCTCCCCATGGACGGTCCGACAAGGAAGGCCCTTACCAGTAGCTTTACGCTACTGCCGGCAAAGCTCTTCAGGCTCACAGGCGTACTCAAGCTCACCACAACGTCAAGGTTATTGTACTTCCCGGAGGTGGAGCTAATTTATTAATTTATTTTATATTATTATTATTATTTACTTATTAAGAAATTTTGCCACACCCTTAAAGTACCATTCGAGCGGGCACAGCCCCAACCTCCCCACTACTCTAAGCCTATGGCCACAAACCATTATTAAATACGCACAAATTAATACAACCTCAACACCCGAGCTGATCTGAGCTTTTTAACACGTGAGTTTACGAAGCGCATTATTTCCTCACGTTGTTCTAGTAATCACCTTACAAAAAAGTTTGTTTGACGTCAAAAACAGTTTAAAAAACTGTATTCATGATATAAGTAGAAGTGTATTCTTGTGAGCTTTTTCTTCAATTCGCAATTCCTACCCTATAGGTATACAAGGGGACTGAATGACATTAAAACGAACCTTTTTTGGAAAACTAGGGTGCTACAACAGCACACACTTTATCGGCATTATTTGTAAACTTCGCATATTAAACTACTACATTACCTGCAAAAAGTGCCGGCAAAAAATTCCGCTTCGAGACTCAAACTCCGGTCCTTCCGAGTTAAATCGAAATGTGCGCCTTTCCCTCTCCACCAAGCAGCCGCTCTGACGCGGCAACTCAGGCCGTCGATAGGAAATCGAATTGTCTTCAACCCAATATTCCAATACGCATGTTCGAGAAATCAGAGAAACGAAAACGAGACCCACAGTCATTTCCACGCATCCCTTGTTTTATCGAAGAAAATGTAAAAAAAAAAAAAAAATTTGGAGCTGTTCTCGAGAAATGTTCTATATTTTATAATTTGCTTTTTATGTGCTTCTTTTTAATTTTCTTTTTATATCGGATCATAAAATCATCTGGCAACTAATCGTTTAAAAAATTGTATACAGCCTTTTTTAAAGTGCTGATGTTTTTAGAACAGATGTTTCAGGGAAAAAATCTCTTTTTCCTATTTTGTTACTTTTTGACATGTTAACTTCTTTTACAATTTTCTGAAAATTACGGAGCGTTCGCCGAAAATAGGACTAACGCCATCTTTGTTTTACAGTCCTTTGACATACGAGAAGAAAATTTTAAAGCTGTTTCTGAGAATATGCTTTTTTAGAATTGAAATAAATTTCAAGTTACAAATTATGCAAAAACTGCTCCCCCATTGGTTCAAAAAAAATTTGTGCTTGACTATTTTTAAAGGCAAAAATCTCTATCAATTTCGTAATTTTTTAAATGTTGAAGTTTTGCCATTTTTTTCAAAATACAGTTTTTTTGCCGGAAATGACCAGCACCATTTTTTACAGTCCTTCGATACATTCGAGGAGAAAATTTAAAGAAAAAATTGGGAGCGGTTTTTGAGAAAAAAGGTTTCAAAAAAGTTTTTTTAAAAATTTCCTATATTTCATGATGTGTTTTACGCGAAAGCGACTCATATTTTGAAAATTGTACATGGCCTTATTTCAAAAATCTTTATGGTAAGAAAAACAGATTCATTAAGTAGAAATAATCTCTGGGTCAATAATGTAGTTATAGAAATTTCTCCTAAAGAATGAACTTTTTTCGAAGATCAGAGATTTCAAGAAAATAGAGAAACTGCCACCATTCTCTTAAGCGTTTGTTTTGCTATCGAGACCCAAAATGATAGAATTTTTGTGAAAAATTTGAAAATACTGTTGAGGCTACGAAAATCGAGTGATGGCAAAAAGCATTGGGGTCTTCTGTCTGTTCGCATCCCAGGTACCTATATCATTCCTTCCATCCGTGGACTGACAGGGATCAAGTGCTCTTCGTTCCGAAGCTACCGGTAGCATTTCCAGTTAATTCTGCCAGGGACACGGTTGTTTCGCTTGATACATCGAAAATGCGTCTTAAACCTGTCCCATGTTTCTCTTTTTGACGTTCTATGTTACTTATTCTGATAACACTCATCACCCCACCCCAATCATTTGATAAACATCCAGAGCATATGTCAGTGTTTTCTAAGGGTCGGACTCAGGGGAAATGTCAAATTACGTCCCACTGATAGCCGGCGTGGCGTGTACCTTAGCGCGTAGTGCCAACTCGCAAATTGCGGCCGTCCTGAGAGAGCGTCCGTTGAGTCGCGCGGGTCTCTCACAGGCGACATTTAAGGAAAATTATTGTGTGTCTCCCAACTGGTGTTATCATTATCAGAGACTTCGTTTTCCACATTGCCATCTGCCTTGATGACAAAGTTAGATACAAATCTCTGTTAGAATAGTGACTGTTAAATATTAGATGAATTCTGATAAGATTCTTTTGATTAAAATGTGCTTCTCCTTTATAGCGTTGCTCTCAACATCCTCTTTCATCTCTTCTTTGGTTACGGACTTCCACTACTGTTCTTTGTACATCTGACGTAGAATCGATTCTTTAGCTGTTACTTTCTCCCTTGCTTGCTCAGATTTCACAACACAAAATGACTGTTACTGCCAAAAAACCGGTTATTAGACTCTCACCAAACTTCCGAGAACAAAAATACTGATCATGAAGAATAACCCCATTCAACAAACAATTCATTATGACCCAATGGGCAAGATGGAGATAAAGGTATGCTTGAGAAATAATCACGAAAAAATCTTACATTTAAAGTACTATGGTTGTTTTACCAAAAACGGTTTTACGGTTTCTTGGAATCGAAATTTTGAAATTTCAATTTTTTTTTCTTTTAAATTTTCTTTTGGTATACAGGATGCGACACCTAAGTTGGCCACAGCAAATATCTTGACATTTTTTTGAGGTACGAGATGATATTTTGCGCCAGTTTGCTGATGATAGGGCAATAACATATTTCGTTTTTTGTTGGGAACGTATATTAATTTAGAGATATTGACTAAACTTTTTTTAATGGAAGTATTTATGCTGTTTACATCATTCTAAGTTCTTTAAAAATGAAATGCAATTAATATAAAATATATTAATATCGGTAAAAACTATTTTTTTCAAAAAACTGTGAAATTAGAACATGTAAACCCCTTTGGCCCGCAGCGCGCAAGGACTGCGTTGTTCTCTATGTTGCGTTGTGTTTCCCGTCGATCACTTTGCACTTTTGTATGCAGCCGGCATGGTCAGCTTGTCGTCTGGCGCGTTGCAGCATTGGCGTCAACAGAGGCTCTAATTCACTGTTTTGCAAAAATACTTTATCGAATATTGATATATTATATCATTGCATTTCACTTTTAAAGATCTTTTAAGAATTTATCGTAGAAAAAATATTACTTCCATTAAAAATCAAAAAATTGATCCAATATTTGTAAAATTTACATACCTACAAACAAAAAAACGCAAAATTGTGTTTATTTACCCCAATCATCTACAACAACATGGGCAAACAGATATCGTCCGCAACCGTGTGTCAAGATGTTGCTGGCCCAACTTTAGGTGGTCCACACAATATATCAAGGGACAGGTAAAAAAAATGTGCGTATAGTTTTTTTTTTAATTTCTTGGCGCGTGTAGGCCAAGTCTTCACGATAGGAATATCTCACGCACTTCGCGTCTTTCGTCGGCGCATGCCGCTAGATATGATGATCGCCAGCCACTGCTCGATATGGTCGCGATCATGCGACCTCTAGACGGCAGATGACGAGAAAGATGCGAAATGCCGGAGATACTTCCTATCATGAAGTCAAGTCTCATGCCACCGAGAAATAAAAAACCGAAGTATAGTCCGTCGCTTTGCAAACTTCTCCATATTTTTCGAAAATTGCAAAAATGTCCTGTGGAAACATTTTTGATGGAGATAATTATATTAAGGGTCGACCTAGTTCGGTCTGCCCCCGTACTTCTGTAGCATAGTGGTGTTAAGCTGAGGGTGAGTTAATTCTGAATACCTGAGTTCTAGTCTCGGTGCGGACTTTTTTTTTGTTTTACTGTTGAAATTCTTTTGCAGGTTTATGAGTATTATAATACAGCGGAGCAGTTAGAAATTATGCAAGAAAGTATGCACTGCTTATAGCTACACTAATTTTCATGGGCCGCAACTCAACGAGACAGCAAATTTATGTGGTTGCAATTTTACGTTCTATTTCCTATAGATTAAGGTTAGTAATACTTACGTTTCTTTGATTTGCTTTTACCAAGTGTGGTCAGTAAGGTTTTCTTCAAAGCTCAAATTTAATGAAAAACGTTCACGTTATGTTCTTGCGACCGAGGATTAATTTTCTGGATTTGACGATCGCAATACTAAGTATCAAAAACGAAAATAACATTTTATGTATAAAACCAATGCGTTAGTGGTCTAGAAAAAAACTCCGTTTAGTTCGGGGATAGACCAAGGCGGAAATGGTAGTGCCTGTGAGCCATAAAAAAGAAGAAATTAGAATAAGCATTAATCGGAATGTTTGAATTAACCGAAAGATCGAATGGGTCTGTAACATTATATTACACTAATCTGCTTCTGGAACAATTTCATCGGGGTCTGCATTCCTTTCCTACTCATTTCAATGTTGAGATCTTGATTTTGAACAGTTTAAAATATTGTAACATTTCTGCTTCTAAATCTTCACATTAGTTGTTCGCACGGTTCGGTGTTTAGCAAATCAAAAAATAAAATAAAATCCACTTACCTGCATTCCCATGGTTAATCGCAGTCAATACTCCTAATTACTTGAGAAATGAGGCCCACAAGAAGAACCACGTAAAATAACAAGAATAGTCGGTGAATGTTCTGGAGGTTGTGACGTCAGGTAATAACGACACCAGAATGTAACTTAGTGTGCCATAGTACCTAATGAAATTTGAACCAATACAATGAGCACATGTTACTAATTCACCTTTTCGAATGCTATCAACAAACATTGTTAAATTACGAAATATTATATGTCCTAATGAATTCGTTCCTAAAACTTAGGCTGATTAATTTTTGTGTGTTGAAAATATTACTATTTTTTTGGTAAGTCTATATAAAATATAATTGTGTTCCTTTCATCCACTTACAGGAAACACATTTACACAGTCAATACGACGCTTTATCGGTTATCATGTTATGTGTTTTTCTCAGGGCTTGATTTTTATCGTTCTATTCGATTTTTCTTCCTCGCATGTCTGCTCCAGCGTGACCGATGAGTTCTTTTCCACCCTATTTAACACGCTTCCATTTAACCAACAATGTTGCGAGTTCGAGCGAACGCACGCCTGAGCAATCCGGCTGCTGCCGCCGGCGCGCACATCCGGGCGTTCGCTAAAAAAAGATTGGAATTGGCACCAAAAAGAAAGCGTATTAAAATGGAACCGAAGACATGAAACGTAGAGTGACAAAAGAAATAAAACTAGTCGTGTTACAATAGCACTACTTTCTACATTATCTTTTAATTGTAACTCGAAAATTAGGAGAAAACTACTCACATTTTCACATAATTTTACACCACGTTTTACACCAAAGATTCAATTTGAAGAACAGAATTCTATTAAAAATATTCTATTTTTCATTATTGTAGTTGTATTAATTATCCCGAAAAGTGTAAAGTTTTTCAATTGGTTGAAGCTCAATGCAAATTGGACATATGCCATTTTTATTAGCTTTTCATCTTGGAGGGCCACCCCAGTATCGCTGCCATTTTTGAAAAAAATGTTGGAGGACAATATTCGCAGGCTTCTCAGGTAACGTACCTCCCAAAACTCAAATATCCGCTCGAATGAAGAGGTCGTGGACACATCAGCCAGATCGATCGGGGGATATCAATTTTGGAGAAAATATACTGCTACTGTTGTCAGTCACAGGGCGGACGCAGAGGACTGATTTTGCCAAAACAATTTTAGGTTTTCATGGGACCTACGAAGTATGGACTCTGACTACCACGGTGGTTAAGAGGATGTAGATCTTATCTAAGTTTTAAAACACAAGATCGTACCATTCTTTTTCTCTGGAATCAGGGACATACATACGAGGTTTATTCTGTGAAATAATCTTCCCGATTTCGCTGCATTATAATATTTATATTTTGTGCATTTTCATGATAGTCGTCTTTGAAGACGTAAAAACTGATTATGTTCTCTAATTAATTTATTTTTTATATGTTTATTAGCAATTTCTTTTGAGACCGTAGATGCAAAACGTTGCTTAGCTTCTCTCGTGTTTCCTCATAGCAGCAGTTTACTGGTAACGACTAAAATACAAATACTTGTATTGTGCTATTTCGTTTTGCTCTATTAATACAATTTTAAATTTTACTGCCTGTACGGGATAGCTTTATCTGCAGATCCACATATACTCGCCAAGGAGGAAGTGTGAGAATGATTTGCAGAGGATTTTACCATCCATTATTAGAGGCCATATATTCTCCGCTAATGCAGTCTTATGATTGTGCAAGCGTCGAAAAGGAAACGTGTACCATATAATTGACAATATTCGATTGAAGGGGAACATCTAAATACTATGATATATTTTTAGTCGACACTTCATCTCTTCGATTTAATACGATGTCATAAATTATTACAATATATTAATGACACATATGTACTCATGTAGACAGTCTGAACACTGGCTACTTACGTCTATAGATTACTCCATAGATCGTAATATTATTAGTGCGAATCTTTGTTTTTGCCTATCTATGAGAATTAAGTTGTAATAGAATAGACATATATGTCACAATTTATCGCGGTTTACCGGAAAATATTAGCTCATAACTAATTTAACTTATTAATCGAACAAATACAGTGATTGTGCCTATTTAAGAGAATTAATAGTACTGTGAGCCCGTAGTACTCTCCTTTAGATATTCAAAATACATATAACCACTTTCTTTACAAACAGACGTTTTTATTCTGTTTATCAAATATTGAACTTAAAAGCCATCTTGTTAAACCTTGTCCAACGAGACGGACTTTCAAAGAAAAATGTTTTCGGACAACATTTAAACGAATTAAAATCGTTTGCGCAAGAGCCGAGAGTAGCCTGAGACATATTACAACTCGAATATGAACACGTTTGACCCAAAACATTTTGAAGTTCCTCCTCCCAAAATTTGTTTCTGGATCCAACCCAGTAAAAGATGTATCTCATTTTAGGTGGTTCCTGAGTCCAGAAAGCAGGCATTACTTCACGCGTACACATTATTATGGAACCTCCCCGCACTTTCTTCGCACTGCAAACACTTTACAAAAATTGCTCTTTACATAACGGAAAGCATAATACAATTTCAATTTATACTCGCCTTCGCAAGTTCTGCACGGAGTTCGTATCTCTAGGAAGTGAGGTCGGGAAAAAGTTTCAACGCAACGCCCAGCACACTTCAATATCCTCAACTGCTGCAAATACACTGGAAAGAATGTCCTTCAAGAAACTCCTGCACGAAAAGGAAGTATTAGGCAGGCCGCTGAGCTGTCAATTTTCTTTATAACTCTGTGGTTCCCACCGAACCTCGTACCATGTGACCTCACGACCATCGCCTCTCTCAGAATTCGTGCTACCAACTAAACGAGGCAAGAACTTGCAGTCTGAAATTCATGTAATGACTCAGGAAAAGGTCTCAGCGACAATGATACAATTAGCAACAGCTTAATTAAAAATTTTAGGCTTGGAGGGAATGTTAAATAACACTTGTTTCTTATTTAATTTGTCAAGTAATACATTATATAACACGAAATGTTTTTGTTAAAGATACAACTTTGCTTATATACAACTTTTTTGATAATACAAACTAAAACTTTTCACATTTCCTCAATTACTTATATTTCAGCAAAATTGTACACAAAATAGTAAGTGTTTCCATTTTTTTACCTTTCCGTTTCTTACATGTATACATACGTATACACAGAGTGTTAAGGGCAGTATACTTCGAATTTTTTAGTGGCCGCTGACGTTAGTCAATGTTACATATCTTGCCATAAAAAACAGTTAAATATCTTTTTAACAGTGGTAACGTAACCATTTCTGATGCCATGAGCTCGTTGAGAAGGACGTTTATGAATTTAAAATTTTCGTTTCATAAGTCAGTGAGCTAATATCATGGCTCGATTTAAAAAACGAAGTATAGACGACTTTTTGACAGCTTCTATACACTGTTTTATAACGTGGCACGTCACGGCCTGTTGTCACGATGGACTTATGGCATCACTATCTGACGGCATTTCGTGTTGTTTTTTTCTGTCGGCTAGATGTGAAATGCCGTGAAATATTCCATCGTACAGACAGGTCTTGACGTGCCACTATAAAAACCGCAGGAAAACAAATGAGCGACGCCGAAGACAGCATAGCTCCCATAGAGTAGAGATATGTTGTATCTCTCCTCTATGATAGCTCCCCGAAAAGTATTCTTCTATCGGTCACCTACCTGAGTACATTAATATTTATTTAACCATTAATGTGAAGTGAATCAGCTGTTCACGGTTTTATGGAATCGGAGCTTGAAAGACCCCAAAGTGATGTCAGTGTAGCGACAAGTAAGCTCCCGATTGGATGAAACTACAACCGTTGGTTTACGTCAAGTGCACGACCAGATAAATCGTACATGCAGTGAGTATAGTTGAGAATCAGCAGTTTCAGCTGGCTGGATGCAGAGTATTCGCTGGAATTTGTAATTTAATGTATTTTCATCAGAGATTGATTGTATTCCGCTATCATTAATGTCGAAAAAGTGTACGAATTGTACATCAGGTTATAAAAGAGTATTTAAAAATGTATTTTGGTGCAATTGAATTCATGAGGGCAGTATGTTCTTTCACCTTTTAATTATATATCCCAGATATATATATATTAAAGGGCGTTGGTGAAAGACTATCTCCCTGCCTCACTCTTTTATTTGTCACTTTTTTCCAAATAAATCCATTGTATTTTATTGCGATATTAGTATTACCATACATACTTTGCATCACTTGCACTAGGTGTCATGGGTACCCTTTTTTTTTCATAATGATCCATAATATACATCAGTTGGCATTATCAAAAGCCTTCTCAATATCCTCGAAGGCTAAATATGTTTCTCTATCAAACTCCACTCATATATCAATTATTTGTTTTAATGTAAATATATCATCTATTGTTGAACAACCTTTTCTAAACCTCTTGTTGTTCCTGAGGTAGAGTGCAGTC